TTCCGAAAGGAACTCAAGAAAGTAGAGTCGTCAAAGAGAAGTGGATCATCAACTGATGATGTTTATGTACCATCTTTGTGGTATTTCGACTTGCTATTATTCACGAAGGATCAGGAACTACCCACTGCTAGTATAAGTAACATTCCTAACACCGAGGATAATCAGATTCTTGAGGAGGATGATTTGGAGCAGGATCAGGAAGCATCGGTCGGATTTTCTGAAGAACTTGTCAGCACTCAAGGAAAATATTGAAAACACCGAGGTAAGTTTATCTCACATGTTATTTTATTACACAGGTAATAGGCATTCGTACAACTGGAGACCCTTTCAAGTAATGATAGATAAAGGTACTTATTTAATTAACAAAAAGTTTATGCTTTTCCTTTTCGAAGCATTTCATCTTGAAAGTCTATTTTTCCATCTCCATTGAAATAATGCATATAAGCTTCACGAACCATTTTTGCTGATGAACTAGCATTTCTCTTTGTGATACATGGCTGTAGATTGACCATATCTACACTATTATTTCTCCAGTCCCCAATTTGAATACATCCATCGGCATTATACTGATCGAAAGTTGAACTGGATGCATATGGTGTTTTTAGTTTTAACAAAAAAATGTGTAATGCACAAATAGCTAATACTACATATTTTATTTTTGTGGGAGCTGTGTGGAGAATTCTGAATTTAGCTGCTATTTGACCAAAAGCATTGTCTGTTACGTTCCTTGCCCTGGACAATCTATAATTAAAGATTCGTTTTGCATAATCAACTTCCTTTTGTGGAAATGGTTTTAAAAAATGTTCATGTAAATTGTAGACTAAACGCTTCGTCCCCAAGGAACACATAGTTTAAATTATTAACAGTTTCGAAGTTATCTGGTAAATTGAGTTCTGACTTCATTAATTTATCGTAAAAGTCCGTGTACTCGATAACATCACCATCTAATAGTCTTCCATTTTTTCCCACATCCACAAAAATAAATTCGTAATTGGAATTCACTAGCGCCATCAAAACTATTGAATAAAAGTTTTTATAATTGTAGTATTGCGCTCCTGAATGAGGAGGAGGCACTATTCTGATGTGTTTACCATCCAAAGCTCCTCCACAGTTTATGAAATGCCATCTGTCTTGAAATCCCTTAGAAATATTAAGCCATTCTTCTTTAGAAGTTGGAAACTGCAAAGAAAAAAATCAATTAATGATTTTGTTCCAGGCTAAGAAGACCACGTCGAGTGTCGTGACACCAGTTTCAAAAAAAAGGATCATTTCCAAAGAGACAAAAAAAAGGCCAAATACTTCCACAGAAACCAGAGAATTCATTGAATTGTGTAAAACCGTATTGGTGCCTCAGAAAAGCGTTACGGATCTCACTGAATTTGATGCGGCAGGTGTGAGTGTAGCGAAAAAGCTGCAAAGGATGCCTCCAAGCCAAGCCATATACGCTGAAAGCCTTATCAATCAAGTACTGGCAAGAGGACTTTTCAACAATTTATCTAGTGAAACCAAATTGTGTGATGGATCCAGCAGAAGACCCCTCAACTCTTACACCAGTAGTGGTTCACGATCATCTACTGTATTATCGCCATTATCCTATCATTCTATTAATATTTCTGAGTCATCAGTAGGGCAGGCACAGTACTCAGCAAGTGCTGCATCCAATGATTCGCAGAATCAGATGAATCAATTACCCCAATCAAGTCACGATTCAAATGATACTGCTTTATCGTTTTACGAGAATTCGTTTAGTTTTTTGGATAAGAACGATTAATCGACATTTAAACTGAAAAAGAGTAATTATTATCATAAAGGGTAGTTTTTGATACGTTTGGTTGCCGAAACAGTTACCGGAAATAAAGTTTTGTTTTGAAGTATTTGCCTACTTTTTAAATCCTTTTCTTTAAATTTTCTGCTGCTAAATGATTAATGAAAGTTATAAAAATGCTGATCCACTGACATTGGATGGAATTTGTACAATTAAGTATTATTTGTATTATTTGTAGGTTACTTTCTTTCATGTATTCTCCTTTCAAAGACTCAAACATGGCCTTACAAGTTTCCGGGATCAAATCACAAAGAGTTGATGTACCAATGCCTGTGGTGAAACTCAAATCTTGAAGTGATCGACCCGTTGCCGTTAATCTTTCCTCCTGACTAATACTCTGTCTCATTACAATATCTTGCTTCACAATTTTGGGACCAACAAGTTCTAATAATTTATCAAATGTGCTCGAATCCATTCTTAAGTAATTCTTATAGTCGTCTGGGTAATTTTCTCTCAATTGACGTAGAAGTGGCATATGTCCGTATACCTCACGATCTTGTTTCCATTGTTTGACCCATTCCGTTCTGTTTCGCTGTTTAGACTTTTCCAATATTTTTTTATAAGTATATATGGCAGCAACTGCAATAATCTGATTATTCCTTCGACTTTTAGGCATATTTAACCATCTAAAAAGTAAAAATTATTCAAAAATTTATCAACTCTAGACAAAAATTTCAAACTTACCTGAAATTCCAAACGCCACACTAATCGCGAATGATACCGGAAATTTTTACGTTCACACACACGAGATCGGCGCTTACAGTTTTCAACCGCAATGAAGAATGCGAGATAAAATTGTGTCTGTTTCTACTGCAACAGTCTTGGCAAGATTGCGTGAAAAAGTGTACGTATGAAAGCCCCTAATGAACTAACACGTTGTGAAAAATAACTTTTAGTTTTTGAGAAAACAATATTTGAAGCTTTGATAAAATTTTCGATGTTGCAATTTTCATCGATAATTTTCAAAATTCGCTACAAAATTAATTTCTTGAAGGATCTTTGTGGAAATATAATATAATAAAATATCCTCTTTTTAATGCAACAAGCCGTTTTGAAAAACCACTTTCAGTTCTTGAGAAATTAATTTTTTAAATAATCGACAATTTTTTCGAATTTCGCAATTTCCACCGATTACTTTACAACCTTTCTTCTACATGTAAATCACTAAAGACTAAAGTAAAGACTAGTAATAAACAAAAAATAATATGTACATATGTATTGTATCACTGTACTGTAAACAAAACTGTACTGTAGACAAAAACTGTCAGTTACATCTTTTTAAAAAAATCGGTCACTAGCTTTTGCTTCTTGCTTTGGAAACACCTTTTCTTTATTCTGGATTGTACGTTCCTTAGCATAAGTTTTTCTGCCAGATGTGCGTCGTCTTGCTCCTCTAAATATTGAAGCAATCCGTCTACATGCTGCAAAGCAGTTTCATGTGTCATCTGCGCAAGCACCTCGCCTTCTTCACTTTCAATTTCTTCGTTCACTCCCATTGCTTTGTTTGTTATTTCTACGTCAGATAGTCGTTCAAACCCTGGCTCATTTTTGTCACATTCCAGCCACTCTTCTATGTTTTCTTGATTTACATTCTCACCTCCCGGAACGGATGTCACTAAGTCAATAAGTGCAGCGATAGGCATATCTTCATTATGTTGTTCACCAATGTTTTGGTTGACATTTACTTCAATATTTGGAAAGAGTTTTCTCCACGATTTGACGAGGGTTGACGGTTTAATACAATCCCATGCAAACGCAATATCGCAAATGCTATCCAAAATTGTATACATCTTCCAAAGCTGCTTAAAATCGTAACCTTCTTCAATTTTTGTTTTTTCCAACTTTGTTCTGTATATCCTCTTCACAGTTGCAATGACCCCCTGGTCCATAGGCTGTATGAGCGCAGTAACATTTGGGGGCAAAAACTTTGCAAAAATTTGTTCATCAGAAGATTTAAGCACACTTGCGGCAGGGTGTCTTGGTAAATTCTTTGAATCAAGGTGTTTACGTACTTGAGGTACAAAAATCTTTTCAAACCATTCTTGAAAAATCTGCTGGTTCATCCAACCTTTTTTTTGATTGAAATAATCGACTGGTAAATTGTCTGCTCTTGTCCCCTTAAAAGACCTTGGTTTCTTAGATTCTAAGAAAATCGGTAAATTACAACCGATTACAAGAAGTTTCAGTTTGTGGGTACCAGCAGCATTGCTGCACGGCAAGATTGTGATTCTTTCCTTGCTACTTTTGTGTCCTGCCGCTTTATGTTCACTTTCAAATGCTAAAGTGCGAGTGGGAAGACACTTCCAAAAAAGCCCTGATTCATCAGCATTATAAATTTGTTCTGGTGACAAATCTTCCGACATTATAAACTTTTCAAAATCACGTTGAAAATCGTCAGCTGCTTGTTGATCACCGCTCAGCTTTTCCCCGTGAAGACCTATCTCCCTAATTCCATAACGTTTCTTAAAACGATGTAACCAACCGGACGACGATGCATCAAAATTTCCTTCCAGTCCTAACAAATCAAAGAAGACTTTTGCTTTAGCTGCAATGTTAGGACCGGATACAGGAGTGCCTTCACTTCGCTCTTGAGCTAGCCACTCCGCTAATGCCGAGTCAAGTTCACTGTACGTGGATTTCTTCATTGTTTTTCGTTTTTTCATTCCAGAAACACTGTTTGAAACTGTTGCAAAAGCCAATAACTTTTCTTTTTGCTTTAAAACATCTCGCACTGTTGTTTCCCCAATCCCGTATTGTAAACACATCTGCTTTCTTGATGCGCCATTTTCTATTTTAGAAATCATTTCTATTTTTTGTGGAATCGTTAACACAACCTTCTTTCGTTTTTCAGCCATTATTTATTTCAGGAACAAACTAATAATCTGCTAATAACCACCGACAAAGAAACACGACTGTAGACGGTGTGACAAGTCGAAACACGCTTTAAAATGAGTCAAAACACACGTTCGTCTGATCAATATCGAGCGCAATTCGCATAAACACACGAGCACACACGAACACATTTCGATATATAATGAAAATCAAATTAAATTTAAAAGAAAAGAATATTTCACGGCACTCGCGGATAATCCGCACTGCGGATAATTGGGGCTCTACTGTATTACCAGTTATATGAAATTTCTGGTATAAACTTGGATTTAATCAAACTAAAAGCCTCATTTGAAACTATATTGCTCCTTTTTTCTACATATGTATTACTTTTTATTACATTTTAACTCCCTACAATGAACAAGAAATCTAACATTCTTTCTTTACTGAATTAATTACTAAACAAATACAACAAAAACTGTCTTTTTTATTTTAAACTAACAAATTTACAAAAATAAATACAATAACTTAACCTTAAAAAGAACCTAAATTTCGACATGTACTTTTCTAATTTTTAAATTTGAGAAATGTTTTTTTATTATCACAGCAGAAACATAAAAATAAACACTAATTTCAAATATTTCAAAAGGGCATTAACACAGACAAAAAGTCTTTGGAGAACATTTCTAAGAAATTTTCAATAAAAGTGCTTGTAAAACCACAGCGCCTGTTTCTTTGGTGCTCCATTCGACGGCATTCCTAGAATGCGAATAAGACCCTGGTTTTACAAGCAATTGGAATGCGGCGGAAATTTCTTTTCCGTCCGGTAATTTAAACGGAACAATATCGCAATGTTGTAAAGAAGGACTAAAACTTATTTGAACGTCATCGGGACGTTGACCAATCAAATTGGAATATTTCATTTGATCTAAAAGTGATTAGATGTATTTTTAGCAAACAAAAACGATTTTTTTATTACTTACTTTTCGTTAATGGTTGTCCCTTATCTAAAATACACCTTATTGTGGATAATTTACTACCATAATAAGCCAAATGCCACATGTCTGTGGGAGTATTGTGTAAATTCTTCAAAGGAAACTTTACCCAACCTAAAAAATTACCAAAATTATTTTTGTAACGAAAAAAAAAAAATTTATTACCAATAACATGACTATCTTTATATCCTTCAATATCCAGTCTCATAATTTTATAACAATTATTGCAAATACAGGTAGGTTCTTCCAAACTAAAAAATTCATCTGGTAAATAAAGTGTCTTTTTAAACGCTACACATTCTTCTTGATATGCACAAGGTGTTATGCTCCTAATGGGAGTTATCGGACTGATTTTAGGTAAAACGGCAGTTGTTGTTGCATTATTATTGCTCGTTGTGGGTATAGGAAGCGTTAAGTGTTCCGTATTCGGCCTTTGCTCCTTCTCACATATTTCCAAATCGGCTTTTTCACAATCTTGACTTGAACCACTTGCCAATGATTCTTCTTCAAACTCATTAAAAATTTTTATTTGCTGACATTGACCATATAAGTCAAATATAGCGAAAGATTGTTGACCATCATTCGGAACCCAAGGTAAAATTTCTTCGCATTCACCGTTAATAAAAATATGTAACCCAGTTTCTGTTACCATTAAACCAACAGTCGAACCCGGTTTTAACATGTTAAGACGTTCACCAGACGTTGATTGCGATTTTAATCCGTTTATCGAAATCCAATCATTCGCAATTATGCAACAGGTACCTTTCATTGAAATCGCAGTTCCAGGTAAATTTAATTTTTCTGGTTGTCCACAAACAACTCCACACATAATGGATGAATTCCACCGAGAATCTAATTGTTCAATTTGAACTTGCATGATTTGGTTAGGAACTAAAGCTGGATAAGCAATCACGATTCCTTGGTTGTAAGAAGCGACTCTTTTAGCGGTGGTTTTATCGCCGGAAATTTCGATATTTCTCCCATGATTATCATGAAATTCATATTTCGTCGGGGTACAACAAAGTATTTCTAACGAAGTGTGCTCTTCACTTGCGATTGGAGCCTCCAAAGAATTGGGTTCTTGATCTAAAACGATCTCCAAACTATCTTGAAGCATCGCATTTGCTAACGGAGTAACTGGAACTTTTCGACTTGTAACTTGAATTTTCGAACACGATCCCGATAAATCGACGAAAACGTACAAATTTTCCGACATTAAAGGAAAATTTACAAAAACTTCTTCGCCGTTAATAAAAGCTTTAAGTGAATCATGAGTTTTTAATATTCCCAAACGATCGTTATCGCGTAACCAATTTAAATTCGGCGCGAAAAGTTGAATTATTTTATTTTTATAATGAAGCTCATTAGCTGTTAAATAACAACTTTCGGGGGGTATCATTGAGGAAGTTTGATCTGGAATCGAAGATGTAACCCCCATTGAGAGTGATCCAGCAACGTATGGAGTTGTGGAAACTATAGAAATTTCAAAAAGTTCATCGTGAGCTAAAGGAGTCGCGCTATAAACGAGGCCGTGGTGAATATCTTTTGAGCGAATCGCCAAACAACCATTTTCTGATATTGTAATACCTTTCGAACAATATTCTGATAATCTAAAAATATACCAACAAAAGTAATTTAATAAAATGCTTAAAATAAAATTAAACCTGTGTAAATCAGTTGGTTCTAAAGGGTGTTGTAACACCACACTTGTCGCTTGCAAACTCGGAGAAGTATCCGAACGGATACAACTTCCAATTTGATTAATACTACCAGGAAAGTTAACAGGAGTACTTCTATGAACACTAATCTGAGCACACCTCCCATACAAATCAACAACCGCGTACAAATTTCCATTTGGAACTTCGCACGCCGCCCCTTGAGCAACCCCATCCAAATAAAACTCTAAAATTTTATCCGATGTTCGAACCACCCCGATTCTAACACCCGCTGAAAGTCCATCCAAATCCAAGCTATAATCATTCTTCACAGTTACCCCATTTTCCATTACGGTTGTTCCACTTAATAACCAAGTGTCCCGACATAAATCAGTTGCAGTTCCTGGTAAATCAATTTCTTCTGGTTTAACCGATGTAACCCCTAGCTCAATACTTCCCGACCAACGATCCACGGTATTATCGAGGATCACCTCGAAGATTTCGTCATCTCTTAAAGGTCGATTTGAAAAGACTATTGCGTCGTTAAATTCTGCTTGGGGACGAGGACGAACTGCTGTCATCCCGTTGTTTATAACCCGTGCGTTTTTACCATGAATATGATGAAAACGAAGTTCACTAAATCATCAAAATTACAGTTAAAACATCGATATAATGGAACTCGATATAACGGACAAAATATTTTTAATTATCATTCTCCAAGTTCCTCTATACGATGTATAACTCAAGGAGAGTAGTTCTAATTTTAATTATTATTCAGCGCTAGATTGTTTATATTTTTATTGAATAAAAAATAGAACTAACACTAGAATTAGAATCATTCGGGTTTAGCCGGGTCTAGTGTTCGTTTTAATGCTGGTGTTAATTGCTATTTAGCACTGACGTCACGAACGGGCCTTTAAACTGTGCACCTGTTCGCGAGATGTAGCAGTTCTTTTAGATTCTACCACCCTTGCTATTAATATAGCCATATAACGCAACGGTGTGGCTTGGTCCGAATTTGTGTGCATTAGAATTAGAAATGGCGTGAAAATCCGGCCTTGATATTGATTCGATTTGATTGCAGATCCGGTTCCGGCCGAATCATCCAGCAAATTTGGCCGGATCGTAATGTATTATTACGATAATTATTTCGCTTTAAATAAAATTTTATGTTTACATTTATTAAAAACGAATTAATTTTTTTTAAATATTTCAATAAAAAAGATTAATCTAAAAATTTTTGTAAAGTGTGATGTATAAAAAGTAATTTTTCTCCGTTGGAGTTAATCTAGATCAGCGGTTCTCAAAGCTTTTTTATCACGCCTTCGTACTCCATAAAATTAAAATACCACGTCCCCCTTGTCGTAGTTTTGTAATAAGTATAATAATATACAGGTGATGTAGCAGTCCTGGGAAAATAAAGTGTTTTCATGTTTTTTTGCACGTTTATTACGATTTTTATAACAAATGTTGAAATTGTCGACCTTCTTCGGTCTCGCAATGACCCATACGCTCATAAACCATCAGGAGCATATCCCTAGTGATATTGGTGATTTCTTCAAATATGAGATTTTCCAAATCATTTATTGATTCTGGTTTTGTTGCATAAACTCTACTTTTCAGAAACCCTCAACAGAAAAAATCCAGTGGTGTTAGATCAGGAGATCGTGGTGGCCACTCAATTTCACCTGTTCTACCAATTCAACGGTTTGGAAACGTGCGGCTTAAAAAGTCTCGGACTGTGCGACTAAAATGTGGAGGAGCACTATCTTGTTGGATCCACTTATTGTCAATACTATTAGAGCATACGGCACGTACACTTGGAACTACCTACTTGATTTTCTAACAATTATAGATATCTGTTTCCGTCCAAATTTTCATTAATAAAAAATGAACCAATTACATTCTCTCTCATAATACCAGCCCATACATTAATTTTTTTGATCTCTGAGTATGATCTTCTCTTATTAAACGTGGATTTTCGTCACTCCATTCACAAGCCGAGACCAAAGAAGGTCGACAATTTGAACATTTGTTATAAAAATCGTAATAAACGTGTAAAAAAACATGAAGATATTTTATTTTCCCATTTGGTAGTCAACCCTTCATAATTCTTGAAAGAATTAAGATATCGGGTTTTGGTTTATGGAGTTGTGTTTCTTTTTTAATTACCTTTAAAATAAGGTAAAACTCGACAAGGGTTGCTATTTAAAAATTGCATGGAACTTGTAAACTATCTAAGAATGTAGGTTTTATGACTCTTTAGTGATTCCCAAATTTTCAAATTTTTTTCTTCACTCGTTCAAAACTTATAGCTCCGTCCCGGGAGTTTTGGGTAACCCTGTAGTTACAAAAAACATACATATTCCGTAAAAGTATTATTACAATGGAATACAGCTTTCATACATGCATTAAGAAAGAACAAATCAATCAATGAATTGGATGAGCTTGCATACTGTTGACAAGAGTTTCATATCTAGGTTGAATATTAAGTTTATTTCTATATTTCAGTTTTATTGCCACAACTGTAAAAACGCCCTTTCGCACACATAGGTGTTGGAATAGGGCAAATACAGGTGCAGCGCTTGTTCTGCTATGCTGGGAAAAACTTTGAGATATTTTACCCAAAATAGTGACTTATTTATCTTCTCAAAATCGTATTTGGCAGCAGAATCATTTTTAATTTCCAAAACTTGCTCTTGTAGTGTTTCTGGTAGGTAACGCATCTATTTTAACATAAATAGGATCCGTGGCCAACTTATAAATGTTATTATCGCACTAGTTAGAGAAGTAACCCTTGAACTTATCGATGAGGTGTTGCAAATGGATTCATATTTTATTCTTCATATTATCAGTGTCCTCAAAAACCTCCTTAAAACGTGCTTCTTTTGAAATTGCAAATAATTTGGGAAAGCAGAAATAATTGTATGCTAAAATTTGGCGATTCCAGACTTGCAATTTTTCAATATACGCCGTGATGGCATCTCGATGATATATTATGGTCGAGTCTCCACCTTGTAATTTCAAGTTTAGTGAATTCAAGGAATTGAAAATATCTGATAGACACGCCAATACTGCTAGGACAGTTGGTTTTCTGAATACAACGTACACTTCAGTTTGTTCAAAACAAAATTACTTCATCTTGAAGCCAGCGGAGTTCTGAATGGGTCAATAATGTTTTATCTTCTGTGACCAAATCTGCACAAAAGACTGTAAAAAGTCGGGTGTTTAACGCACTTTTTTTTTAACATAATTGACAATTGTAATAACGGTTATATTAGGATTTTTTTCTTTGGCCACCTGTACGAATCCTGTGCGAGAGCCAAGCGTTGAAGCCGTCTGTGCATATACCTATCAACTTTTCAGCCTTGACAGTTCATGTTTGTCAAAGAATTCAGAGATAGCTGTCATTATATCAACTGCTTCTGCGTTTTCTACAAAGTTGTCGTTAACTCTGTAGAAAACGGTAGAAAACAGCATTTCATCTTTGATTGTTTCGTTGTATATGTATCCATTGAAAACTAGCAATTGATAACAATGTGCAACGTCTGTAATCTCGTCCCACTGCATTGCGTAAAACTTTCATTCTTTCACGGCCTCCACTATCTGAATTTTTATGTTTGCGGCCATATCATCGATGCGGTATTTGTGAAGATTTTTGTTTACTTTCTGCTCCAAGAAGGATATCAGCGGCTTTTAACAGGCAAGGTTTGATAAGTGTTTCATCGATAAAGTGGCTTTTCTTGTCTTTGCGATGAATAGCGATAATTCATACGAAGCTTCAAGCGGCTTTTCAGTTGACTGAGCAAAGGATCCAGCACTATGCAATTTTATGCGTTTCAAACTTATAGATTTGGCAACAAAAAAGTCCTTTGGTTTATCCTTTAACGCACTATGTTTTGTTGACAAATGTCGCTCTAGACGAGAAGGTCTCATAGCATCGCTTAACACTTCGTAACAAATAACACACTGCGGCTGGTCGACACTATTTTTGAGTGTAGCAACAAAACCATATGTAATATAGTCATCACTGTATTTGCATTTTTTAGTCAAGCTCATATCGAAGTAAAACGTACACTTTAGTGATTCGGGACACCCATAATGTCATAGCCATCATACATTCGGGTATTCCCCGTAAAACGTAAACAAGCGAAAGCAGTTATAAGCACTAGGAAATATAAAATATTTATTTTATTGTGAAAAAATTGTTAGGTTGCGGTATTTGAGTAGGACAATCCCCGATCTGTAGAAATACCAAAGTCTAAAGATTCAAGCGCTGTCCGCTAGGTGCAGCATTGTTTGTTATGTTTATGTTGCGTTTGTATTTTAACATCATATTTATATTATAACACATCGCGATTAAATTTTTATTAATGAAATGACACATAAAGGACCGCGTCATCTGTTGGTAGACAACGAATTAAAACAGGTTGAATTACTATTAGAATATAAAAATGCAATGATTTTACATCCTTTAAATTTTCTCATGATTTTTGACCCGTTAAATCTAAACCATTAACGATAAAATTTTAATTATGGTATTGGTATTATTATAAAAATGGATGGTATAACAGTGCCATCTATTGGAATTCTGTAGAAATGCCAACCTGAAAAACGTTTCACTGAACGGTCTTCAGAAAATTACTCCTATTTCAGAAAATGTGCGTTCGTTTTAAGCACTACTTGCAGGGCTTGACAAATGTTTTGGAGCTATTTTGTTTAATTTTGGATACAGTTCTCTATGGTCTTTACACCAAATAATAGGATCAAAACTTTTGTCTACTATAGGTACACTCAAAAATGTATTAATTTGTTGCAGAAATGTATCTTCACTTTTTGTGGCAGTTTTGTTTGTCATTGACTTGCTGTGATGATGAACTGGTAGTACCAATATCATTATAACAAAAGTAATATATAAATAAAAATATTGAATATTTTGCTGTAGCTTTTAGGTATTCCAAAAAAAAAGAATGTGTACACTGAGGATCAAGTTAGGTTGCAAAATTATTATTACCTTCGCTTATGTTTTGCGCTAATGCACTAGAAAATATGTTTATTGATTTTCGTAATGTAGCTATTGAAAGAATAACATCTGAGATAATTGTGGAACTTTTCTGCTTAGTGTATTCTTCAAATGGTTTTAAAATATTTATAATTGTTTATAATAAATTCCATTAATTTGTTGTGAGATCAAATGCAGTATTATTTTGTGATAAATATATAATTAAATAAAACATCTTTGTTGTTGGTACAGTCGCTGAAGCTATAAAAGGCGGAATTCCATCTAGTTAATACATCTTATACAACTTTTCTTTGTGTCATGTTTAAATCATTCTGAATAGTTTTCAATTTATCACATGCTAAAGAAGAGTGATTAAAATGTGTAAGAATTCTTCTCGCGCAAGCTATCATATCTAATATAGCACTTTGTGAAGTTGTAGTGTATGAATGAAACAACTTTAGCTATCTATTTTAGTATCATTGCAGCTTTTAACCATGTTGTCGCCAGTATAGAAATATGATTAATTTGTATTTTCCATAATTCAGTAAAATCCAAAAATGTGTTGTGCAACAACCAATCCAGCATGATTTCAACAAAACTTTCACAACTCAACACGACGTTTCCCCTCTCCCATTCATTTGATATCTAAGGTCCTGTCATACTTATGAAACAAATATTGTTTTTAGAACATATCCTAATATCAGAAGTTGAATGATTTAAATTTTAGACAATTTTCTTGCAATTTCAGTTTGAAGTAAGTCATAAATATTAGATATTATATTTTTTATATAGTTACAAAGAAAATCTTTTATCTTCTACTGTTACATATGGTTGATTATCAAAGCAGATGATCTCAGCAATTTTGAAAGAAATCTTTTTAGTTTGTTGGTCATTAATATCTCAAAATTTATATTTTGCTAGATATTATTGTAATGTCAGTTATTCAGTACTAATTTTCAGTTATACCTTTTCCATTAATATTTCATCAATTTTCTTATCTTCACATATTTTTTCTTGATATTCAGATTTTCTTTATCTTCAGCTTCATGGTGTCTTATTAAATGAAGTATTAATGGACTAGAAGCTGCTTTTTCTTTCCCTCTTCTTGATATTATTTGTTTCTATAATTTACAATTAACTTTTGTTTCATCAGTTTTAATAATGACAAAGTATAACCAAACTTTACTATTTTTAATAGACAGTTTAAAATATTTGTAACTTCAGCCTTTTATTCATGTATACAACTATAGACCTTGGCTTAAACTAACTTGGCTTAACTATCACGATTTTTATTAAAAAGTATCGTACCATTCGGCAACCGAAATCTCGCTAAACGACGATCTGTGCCATCTCTAATTAAAATTATTCATATAACGGACGATGATTTTCATTAACGATGAAAAAAAATCGATTTTTTTTTTGCTTAAAAGTGTTCTTTATACTGTCTAGAATGAGAATCCATTGACAGAAAACATTTGCGGAATGTTTTTCTGCCTAAAAAATTGATTTTTGTAACACACCTCACCGAAAATTCTAAGATTTCTGTAACCACTTTTTGTTATCCATTGTATATGCAGGTATTTTGACCTTGTTGTACAAAAAAGTTAAAAAAAACATAAAATATCATTTTTCAAAAACACTATTGAAGTAGGCTTTCGGGTACCTGAATAAACAATAGCATCACAAAAACTCATTTTCGTAGAAAACTTTACCCGACTTCTATCGAACAAAGGGGTAATTCCAAATATAAAGTCAAAAATTTGTAAGAAGTGTAGTTACTGGAAAAGTAAAGAAGATACTGCGGAATTTCAAGATTGAGTCGAAGATCATAAAGAAATATGTGATATAAACCATGTCGGATCTTCAGGAAAAATGGAAGTGGACTCCGCCATAGAGATGTTTGAAGTACTGTTTTTACGTAGGAGACGGAGACAGCAAAACCTTCAAAGGTATTATGAATGCTCAGCCCTATGACAGTATAATAGTAACAAGAAAAGAATGCGTCGATCACGTTCTGAAACGAATGGGCACACGGTTACGAAATCTAAAAAGAAACACCCGCGGATTAGGAGGGAAAGGAAAATTAACAGGAAAATTAATTGATGAACTTTCCTTATATTATGGATTGGTTATTCGCAGAAATTGCGATTCCGCGAAGGACATGAAAAAAGAGATCTGGGCTACTTTGTATCATAAAATTTCAACAGATGAAACTCCAAAGCATGACAATTGTCCAATTGGTGCTAATTCCTGGCAAAAAGCGTACGCTTTGTCAGAAATCGATGAGTACACTCACAAGCCAGCAATCGGCAATGATGTTTTCAACGCAGTGAAACCTGTGTACGAAGAACTATCAAGGGAAGATCTTTTGACAAGATGTTTAGGGGAATATACGCAAAACAGCAATGAAAGTTACAACGCCGCGTTATGGTCTATCGCACCAAAAACTATTCATAGTGGCAAGACATTGCGTCTGATATAGCTGCTTGCAATTTTAATGACGGTCTTACAAGCATTATGGAAATAATGTAAGCACTAAAATTAACAATTGGAAAATCGTGCTTCGACTTTTGGCATGAAACGGATTTAAATCGCATTACTCGCGCTGAGCGCTCCATGACTGCTGAGGCTAAAGAAGCTCGTAGAAGCCTACTGTCAGACAGAAAAGCTGCAGAAGATGAAAATAAGCTTCAGGAAGGACAGCTGTATGGTGCAGGAATCGCTGATTTATTTTTTTTATTATTAATTTTTTACATTTGAAAACTTTAACGTTTTTCTGGAAACTACATTTTTCAAATCTGTGCAACATTTTTCAACGGATTTTCAAGATTTTTTTTTTCAAAAGGTTGTACTTATTATCTTATTCTAGGTAAGTACGTAGCCGTTTTTCGCTATGTCTCAGATTCTCTATTTTACAACTATTTTTATGTACGTTTTTATCGATAAATACGACATTTCTTGTAAAATCGTCACCATTTCGTCAAAAATAAATATTTTTTAAAAATCCTACGTAGTTTCCTAGTTTTTGAGTTTAGTAAACTAATCGTATTCAAGTTTTAATTATTCGACTTACGCGTTAGGAGAAATCCTGCGCACAATTTAACCCTGCACGATTTGCAAGCCTAACATTATCGACATCTAGCGGGTGCAATTTTAATAACTGTTAATAAATAAAATATGTATTTAAAACTAGAAAAGTGGCTTATTCACATCCTGCAACCCGATTTTAGAAAACTTCTTTGGTCTGATTGCAAAAAAAGTTTAAAAATACCTATTATTTTCGGGTCTTCAAGGTGGCGTACCCCCTTAATGGACACTCCCTTCCCTGTATTAATCCGTTATATCGAGGTTTTACTACATTATTAAAAATTAAAATTACAAAAATATTACCTATAAAGAGTTGTATTTGAAACACTTGTATCAGCGGATGTGGCGTGATCCTCATCGATAATTGTAGCTTCAACAGCTTGTCCATACAAATCAATAACGCCATAAACATTCTCGACAACATTAGAGGCTGCAATTCCTTGATCGTTACCATTAACGAAAAAATGCAAATTTCCATTTTCTTTTCGCATCACCCCAACGCGATCTGAAACCTGCAAACGGTCCAAATTTGTGCCGTAATTCTCTAAAACTGTTGTCCCATTGTGCATAATCCCACTTCCGGTCATCATCCAAGTTCCAGATCTAACATTAGTCATTGTGAAGGGAAATTCGAGTTCTTTAGCGCTGTGCGTAGTCACTCCAATTTCAATTGAACCCGCCCATTTAGTGATTACCCGTTCTAATCTAACCTCAAATAATTCCCCAGCTCGTAAAGGTCTTGATGTTAAAACCACACCATTATTGAAATCATCAGTTGCGTTGGGTCGATGAGCTGTTTTTCCATTATTAATAACTTCCGCGTGCGATCCACAGTTTGGATGGAATGTTAACGGTTCGTAAAAATCGATCGGTTCAGGAGAAACCGATGTTTGTTGTTCGCGAATCGTACGGCGCGTTATCAAATTTTGTACTTCCCGAGGATCTCTGTCGACCAAAGACACCTTTATAGTCATACCATAGAGATCAATTACGCCCCATATTACTGGCGAAACTTGCGGCGCTGCAATCCCTTGATCTAAACCATTTATAAAGTAGTGAAGATCACCATTTGGTTGACGCATTAAACCTACTCGATCGCCTTCTGATAATTCATCTAAATTATACTCTCCATATTCACGACGTGTTCCTTTTCCATTCGTTAAAATTCCACAACCAGACATCATAATTGTACCTTAAAGAAAAGAGATAAAGAATAATTTATTTATATTTAATTATTTTCAATAAATATTTTACCACTTCTCATATTTGTCATTGTCGCTGGAAAAACTAAGCTATCAGGATCATGGGTTGTGACTCCCATTTCAATACTTCCACTCCATTTATCAACTAATCGATCAATTCTAATCTCAAATAATTCAGCATCCGCTAACGGTCTATGAGTCATAACAACCCCATTATTGAATTCATCCAAAGGTCTCCTTCTTTCTGCAGTTCTTTGCGAATTAGATAATTTTATTAGAGATCCACACCGATCATGGAAATGCAATCTTTGGGATGTTTGTCGTGGAGTTGGAATCTCTTCTTCAGGTAAACCCATGCTAACATTCATATCCATTCGAATATCTAAACTATTGCTACTACTCAAACTCAGCTCGCTTAAATCTCCCGCTAAAGTAACATTTAATAGGTCATTATCTATGCCTAAAACTGAGCTACCACTCATGCATTCGTCATTGTTGTGCTCTCTCCCCAAAGGATTTGTTATTGATACTTGAACGCACTTTCCGTAAAGATCAACAATAGCGTATAGAAGGGGTGGCACATTTTCTACAGCAACACCTTGCGGTTCTCCGTTTATGTAAAAGATTAAATCGCCATCCGATGTACGCATAACACCCACTCGTTCATCCTAATTAAATCATAAAAATTACAAAAAAAAAATCAAAGGTATAATTTAAGAATCATCATCTGGCTTAAAAATTGACTCAGGTTTGACTAATTCTTGATACTCTTGATACTTTCTAGTTCTAGCTCTAGTGTCAGTTCTAGTTTTACACAAACACTAACACTAGGCAGTTCTAGGTCTTGTGTTAGTTCTAATGATAGTGTAAAACCACTAGACCAAAAACTAGCATCATTCGTCTTTAAAGACGTGCGGCTAAACCCGAAAGTTTCTAGTTCTAGGTCTAATGATAGTTTACTTGACAGTACTAGGTAGCGCTAGTTAGCATAAGATATCATTATGTTGCATATTTTTATTGCACTAAAACTAGAACTAACACTACACCTAGATCTAGAAAGTATCGGGTTTAACCGTGCGTCTTCAGACAGAGTGATAGTGCTAGTTTTACTCAAGCACAATCTACTTACCACTGCCACTAGAACTAGCACAAGACCTAGAACTAGAATCATTGGGGTGTAGCAGCCTTGAGAGACGTGCGGCTAAATCCGAATGTTTCTAGATTTAGGTCTAGTGTTAGTTCTAGTTTTAATTGTTATTCAGCGTTAGATTCTAGTATATTTTTATTGAACGAAAAGTAGAACTAACACAAGACCTAGAACTAGAAACATTCGGGTTTAGCCGCACATCTCTCAAGACGGCTAAACCCGAATAATTCTAGTTCTAGGTCTTAGGTTAGTTCTAGTGGCAGTGGTAGGTAGTACTAGTTAGTATAAGATATTACTATGTTGTATATTTGTATTGAATTTTTAATTAACTAGAACTAACACTAGACCTACAACTAGAAAATATCGGGTTTAGCCGTGCGTCTGAAGACAGTTCTAGTTCGTAAAGCTGATGGAAGCTTAAGAATATGTTTAGATCCAAAAGACCACGTAATAAAGTCCAGAAAATTCACACTTTCCAATACAGATGAAATTTATAATAATTTGAATGGTTCAGTTAAATTCAGCATTTTAGATGCTACAAGTGGCTTTTGGAACATGTGTTTAGATGAAGAATTTAGCAATTTATGTACATTTGGAACTGCGAGTGGAAGATTTAAATTTTTAAGATTACCATTTGGTATTAAAACAGCGAGTGGGGTTTTTCAAGAATACTTTAAAGAAATATTTCAAATTCCAGGAGTAGAGCTATATATTGATGATATATTAACGCATGCTATGACAGATGAAGAACATGATAAAATTTTAGAACAAGTCTTTCAAATAGTTAAAGCAAAAATGTAAAGTTCAAGTTAAAAAAGTGTAAGTTTGGTATAAATGAGGTTACTTATTTAGTAGTGGTGGAACGGATATCTGGCAATTATCCGGCATCCGGCCATTTTTTAAAATCCGGCCGGATACCGGATAGTTACCAAATATTCGGCTTTGGATATTCAAAAGCTATCACTTAGTACTTCGCCATTCACAGCAATTAGTATCTCTTTTAAGTGTTGGACACTGCAGATAATAATCAGTTCAACCCCAATAGGACTTTTTTCATTGAATACAACTTTATTTATAAAAGGTTTGTCTTTAGTAATCTCATTGTAACAATCCCAATACGATATACCGGGTGTCCCTCAAAAGTCAAAAAGAATGATTTCATGTCGTAATAATCCGTTTTAGCGGCCTAACTATGTATTCCAAATGGTTTTCTTATATCACCAATAATAAAGAAAAATATGGGGGTGAGCCACTTTTGAGGGACACCCGGTATAAAACATCTTGTTGCAGTTTCGTCTAGTTTCCTTCTCTTCGCTTGTAATTCATCATCATATTCATTACTAACAGAACTGTCGCTTTTATCACTTTCGATTATTAAATAAAGTATCCTCTTTTTAATGCAACAAGCCGTTTTGAAAAATTGCTTTTAGTTTTTGAGAAATAAATTTTTGAGAATATGAGTGAAAATTTCCCAAAGTGTTAATAAGAGTGTCCTCTTTTCAATGAACCAACACGTTTCGAAAAATAACTTTTAGTTTCTGAGAAAACAATATTTGAAGTTTTGATAAAATTTTCGGTGTTGCAATTTTCATCGATAATTTTCAAAATTCGTTATAAAATTCATTTCTTGAAGGATCCTTGTGGAAATATCACCAATTATTAATTAAAGTATCCTCTTTTTAATGCAAAAAGCCGTTTTGAAAAGTCGTTTTTATTTGTTGAGAAATAAATTTTTGAAATGATCGAGAATTTTTTCGAATTTTGCAATTTTCGCCGATTAAGTTTTAAAAATTCGTATAAAATCCATTTCTTTGAATATGAGTATGAAAATTTCCCAAAGTGTTAATAAGAGGGTCCTCTTTCCAATAAACCAACCCGTTTTGAAAAATAACTTTTGATTTTTGAGAAAACAATGTTTTAAGTTTTGATCAAATTTTCGATGTTGCAATTTTCATAGATAATTTTCAAAATTTGTTATAAATTCGTATCCTCTTTTTAGAGTTGCTTCGTTAGTTAAATCAGCATCAAAAATGTTCATTTTGTATCTTGGATCCAAATATGTTGACCTATCTTATCAACTTTCTTATTAATTTCATTTTTATTCAAATATGCCAATAATGTGGCAATGTTGGGTATCACTTCAGAAATGTACCAGAAATTATAACCATAATGGACGGATAGATATGCCGGATAACCGGATATCCGGCCGAAGGGGATGCCGAAGAAAAAAGTAGAGCTATTTCTGAAATGCCTAAACCAAAGTGTAAGAAAGATGTTCAAAAGGTTTTTGGGATTTATTATTACATATATAGGAAAATTCATAGAAAATCTGTCGGAAAAAGCAAAATCACTACGAGATTTAATAAAAAAAGAACATATATTTAATTGGGGTCAAGAGCAAGACAAGGCTTTTAATCAATTAAAACAATTAGTGACAAAAAATCCAATTTTATATTATTACGACAATAAAAAACAAGTAAAAGTATCTGTAGATGCATCAAGTTATGGATTAGGTGCTGTTTTACTTCAAGACGATAAACCGTGTGCATATGCCTCTAGAGCTTTGACAGATGTTCAGCAGAATTATCCGCAAATAGAAAAAGAAATGTTAGCAATCTGCTTTGGGTTGGACAAGTTTTATCAGTATGACCTTGGGATCAAACAATCTAGTATACATGAATCAAAGAATAATAATACCTTTAAATTGGAGATCAACAATTTTAAATAACATATATACAAGATATTTCGGAATAACCAAATGCATAATGAAGGCAAAGAATTGTGTTTCTGGTCCAAAATAAACGAACATATTGAAAATTTGGTAAATAGATGTTTAATTTGCAATAAATATGGAAATTCAAATTCAAAAGTAACATTGATTTCTCATGAAATCAATGCAACCCATGGCAGAAAGTGGGTATTGACATTTATCAATTAAAAGCACAAAATTATATATTAATAATTAATTATTACTCAAAGTATCCAGAAGTAATGACTTTAAATAATGACATCACAACAAAAAACATAATAAATAAAATTAAATCTATATTTTCACGACATGGCATACCAAAAATAGTTATATCAGATAGTACTAAACAATTCACTAATGCAGAGTACCAACATTTTGCAAATACTTAGAACTTTCAAATTAGATTATTGTCACCACATCATCAACAATGCAATGGACAAGCCGCACAAAAAATACAAACTATAAAGAAATTAATTAAAAAAAATTAAGAGGGAAAAGAGGATATTTATTTATAGGTATTATTAGCATACTGAAATACACCCCTAAATAATTCAGATTACATGCCAGCACAGATATCGATGTCAAGACATCTCAGAGATACATTAGTGATTGGAGATAAGAAATTAGACCCTAAAACAATAAACAAATACACACAGATATTACATGATAATAGATTAAAAAATAAAATTAACTTTGATAAAACAACTAAGGATAGGAATGAGTTAGAAATAGGTAATGATATTTGGTATCAACTAAAACCTAAATCAACATGAAAAAAAAGGAAAAATAGTAAGGCAGGTAGGTATAAGAAGTTAAAAAATTGTAAGTGAGGATGGAAGAACTTTGATTAGAAATAAACTGTATTTAAATCTTCCACACTCACATTCTAAGTTTGTGCTCATATATGGAAAAATGTAAATAATCAAAATGGTATTCAAAATGAAGAAAGTGTTAGTAGATATGAGACTCAAAATAAAAGACTAAGAAAATTACCAGTGATTTAATGATTATATTATGATGAAATAATATTTTGTATTTATCTTGACAAACAGGATGTAATAGATAGAGATGTGGGCAAATCAATGTACAATGTGGTCAGTAGTAATCGAATGGTTGTTAATAGTAAGTGAACAAGTTAATAAAGAAGGTAAATACAAATAACAGTGTTTTATTAACAAACACAACAGTCTATCTAACAACAGGTAGTCAGTCTTTATGCATTGAAATCCTAAGAAAAACAAGGATATTTCATCTGAAAATATACATTGCAATCTCGCCTAGTTTAGTGAAAATAACTTTACTTTTAAGTTTATCAGATTGATTTTGTAGGTGGCTATAAAATAAACAATTTATAGTTTAGTAATTCTACACTTTTCTGTACTTTCTTTTTATTTTTAACGTGTTTTTTGGATCATTTCACATCTATTAAAAAAAATCGTCGATTTTTAAGCCACATGATAATTCTTGAATTTATCCGAAACAAATTAGTATTGATAAATATTACTTACTTGCTCCAATTTATCTAAATCAGTGGTATAACGTTCAATTAACAACACACCGTCTTTCAAAACAGAGTTTCCTGCGAGCATCCAAGCACCACATTGCAATTTTGATGCACACGGTGGAAAAACGAAGTCTTCCGGATGAATATCGGTGACTCCAATTTCTAAGCTACCCGACCAAGAATGTACTTTTTTGTCGATGCGTATCTCGAAGAGGACATCGTTTGTTAAAGGATCGGCGGTAATGACCATTCCATGGTCGAATTCCGAATCGTTTCTTAAAGCCGTGCAGTTCTCATTAGTCAAGGTTATCCTCTCACCGCATCGGTAATAAAAATATGCCATAATTCAACTTTCCGGGACGCATTGGCGCATCTTCACGCCTTTTTACCGTTCTTCGTCGTTTCGTTCGCTCGATCGAGGTTGTTTACTAATTTGACAGCTAGCTGTCAAATTTCAAAGAAGAACAAGATAATAATTTAAATGATTTAAAAAAATTTTACATCCATTGAGATGTTTATGCTTTTTTTTATGTATTGAATGATATTTCTGTTGTATTTATATTTATTTTAAATTTTTTTAAATGAATTGTTTTGACGTAAATAAGTTAGGTTACTTATTGTTAATGATAGCATTTGAGCTATTTATTTCTAGATGGCGCTAAGATGAAAAAATTTTTATTTTTTCAAAATTTATAAACAATTTGTTTGAAAATTTTTATAATTATTGAATGTAATAATTATTATATATTTAAAAATTAAAAAAGAAACGATTTTCTTGAATTAAAATTTATATATATTAATCTCCATGATTTCTTCTGCTTTATTAGTGTCATGATTTGCAAATTTTGGATGTGGTCAAGTCAAAAAAGTCATCTCTATATCTCTTTCCATTTGGTAACCTCTCTTTTTCTCTGCAGAGTGTAGTAACGGCGTCGAGTGGCGTCCGTCAGGCAACCCCGTTGGGGTCGGGGGTCCGCTAATTGATGCGCATCACACGCTCGGGTGCTGTGCCGAGTGAGGGGCGCGAGCGAGTCGCCCCCGACGGACACCGTCGGCTGCACCCCTAAACGCTCCCGCCGCGCGACCGACAGCACGCGTCGCGGCGCCTCCCCCTCGACGGGAGCGCCGACGCTATCATCCGCACGCGCTGCCGGTCGCTGAAATATTAAGTTATAAGCCAGGGGGCACGACGAGGAAGGGGTACGGAAGGGAATACGAAACGACGACGCCTGGAGGTTTTAGAGGGTTACGAGGGGGAAAGGGCGCAAAGCCGGCGTCGCTATAACTTCCGCCGGCCGTTAACTGTTCGGTATTATCCGCGTCTCGCCTAGCTCAAGGTGTCGTGGTATGAGTTTCAAATTTTAAGGTGGATTAGAAAAGAATACTCCTACTACACTTTTTATTATGTACTTACTTTTCACTTTTACGAGATCATTGTTAACCCAGATATAGGCTCAATGAAAGCTATTCAAAATATGTCAGAATTTACAAAAGAAACAGAAGACACAGAAAAGTCTCTACGGTTACAGTGCAAAACAAAAACATATTTAGAATATTTCCTCTGGACTATTTTATGACAGACTCTGTAAAGATAAAACAATGCCAGAAAGCTAGAGAGGAATACATTTATTCTGCACCACCTTGAAGTTAACGACAACAATCATAACAAACGAAGTAAATGAATGTACTTCAAAAAGACAAACAACAAAGGTTCAGATCAGGAAGATTCTGCAAAGGTGTCATCTTTGTCAAGATCAAGACTTTTCCTGCACAAATGCCTGGAAATACAAAAATTGAGTGAGGCTTGAGACTCTCTAAGCCAGTCTAAGCCAAGTACGTGAACTAAGAGGATAGCTAAATATAGGGTGATTCTGACCCTATACGCATAAACTTGGACATGTATTCCTCGTTACAAATAATAACTAATAGGTGAAAAAGATTGCAGCAAAAGTTTTTTAGTTTCCTAGATATCCATGAAATTTATTTTCAAATCAAAAATAGGGTTGGCGTACCACTTATAGCCAGTTTAAGGATTGTTTTGAATTCCATGCATTGTATTTTGCAAAGAATTAAATTGTCATTAGGTGCTATGATTCTTAATGATAGATAATATAGTTTTTTTACGATCATTGGTGGAAAAGTATTAAGAAAATACAACGTAAATTCAACAAAAAACATAAAAAGGAAAAACTACCGTTTTTCCTATTATAGCCACTTGATCACCATTTATAGCCTGGTGTATGCACTATATTTAGCCATCATACTTAATCTAAACTGAAATTATTGATAAATTGGGAATTTAATGATTGAAAACTACTATATAAAGATGTAATGATTTGAAAAAGAAGTGCAACGATTAATAATTCTAATATACATTTCTTAATAAACAATCTTTACATTTTTTTCAAAAATTTTCTTATGTAAGGGTACAAAAATTTTACGCCATCGTAAAGAGAAAAGTAATCTCTATCAAATAAGCCTAACGAAAGAATACATTGCCATTTAAAAAAATTTAAGTATTATTCGTTACTCATTTGTTTTCTGAATTAAAAACAATTGAATGCAGTCTTATTATGGCAAATAAAATATTAAACACCTTTTGTATAAAATGTTTTTTTATAAAGTTGATACCTACCAAGATATATATTATATTCCATACATAATGGGCACCCTGTATGTATATTCAGATAGATGTATAAAATATATATATATCCAGACTCTTTCTGTGTGACTAAAAACTTCACAGTCTTCAATTGAACCTCTTGAACTTCTGTAATCCAACCTCTAATTTTTCTTCGCTAACAGCGGCGCGAGCTTTGTTAATACACTGACCGGCAAAAAAAAACGGCCACTAAAATGTAGCCACAATTTCAAAGCTGGCTTACTCGCGAACCACTCATTCGATTTTGATGATTCTTTTTTTGATCGAAAAGTTGATTCTTCTGTAATAATCCTGCGATAGAAATTTTTATTCGGATATTAATTTGAGCATATACGAGGTGCAAGAATGAGGAAAGCTTTTTTTCTCGAAATTAGTAATACCCTGTGGGGTGCAGCTGCTACAGCAGAGGGTGTTAACTGGAATCAAACGGTAGCCCAATCTTTTCTGAGCATTTTGTTTTTTTATTCACTCTATTATCTCTGTTACTAACGAAGATGCAGTATTTTAAAGCGATCGCCTGTGAAAACAAGACGAGTGACAATAATAGCTGATGGCCGTTTTATTGTTCTAAGCAATCGTATAACGACAGCTGTAGAAACTCGGTGTCGTCTTCAAATGGTGCATGTTGTTGATGTCAGTGAGAGAACCATTCGCTGAAAACTTGCTAGATGTGGTCTCGCTGCAAGAAGGCTGCCAAAGGACCGAGGCTGCTTCCAAGATATCTGCGCGCTTACATGTAAATTGGGAGATCGGGCAATGGAGGAAAGTCCTTTTTACGGATGAGTAGTGGTTTTGTCTATCACCCGATGGTCGATGAGCGAATATGAAGACGTTGAAATGAAAGATTTGTGGACTATACAATTATGAATCGCGAATGTTTCGATGGTGGTTCTGGTCGGGAATTTACAATGAAGCCTGTACAGATTTTTAATCTTTGTTAAAAATGGCGCCTTAAATCACTGACCTTGAAAACAAAAACTGGGCACCCGAAACAGTTTTGCAGAAGCACTTACATTTTCTTAGAATTACAGAATTACTTGCGTCCTTTATTATTGTAAACATCTGTTGACAAATAAACAAGAAAACAAACTTAATTTAATGTAACAATTAATAATAACACGAAAATTAATAGCGTGTGTGCCCCCCACGAGCTAAAATAACCTCATGTAGTCGCAACGCGGCATTGAACTGATTAGGTTCGTAATTGATTCTTGAGGAATTGCGGCAAATTCTTTTTCAAAAGCAATTCGTAACTCTTGAAGGCTGTCCGGTAGGACAGGACGACGACGAATGCGTCTCTCAAGTTGGTCCCAAAGATATTCGATAGGGTTAAGGTCCGGGCTGCACGCTAGCCACTCTATCCGTTCAATACCCTACTTCATCAAGATATTCGTTAACCACACGTGCTACGTGCGGTCGCGCATTGTCATGCATTAGCATGAATCCGTCACCAATAAAATGGGAATAGAACTTTCATGGAAAGGTACTCTTTCCGAAATTGTGCAGGTCGCAAACCATTCATTACGACGTCTCCACTCATTCTCGACCATCAGGTGACCAGAGACAAAATCGGGACTCGTCAGTGAAGAGCACCTTACCCCATTGTTCCATTCCCTAATTCATATGTACGCGCCCAAATTGAAGACGTGCTCGCCGATGTCTCTGGAGCAGCCGAGGTCTTTTGCCTGGTCTTCTTGCAGTCAGATCACTTTTATCAAGTCTTTGATGAATAGTTCTTTCACTTACGTCAACCCTACGCACCATTTGAAGTCGATGTCGAGATTCTAGAGCTGTCGTTGTACGATTCCTCAGAGTGTTTAGAACAATAAATCGGTCATCAACTGCTGTTGTTACTCGTCTTCTACCGAAACCTTGCCGCCTAGTAAAATTTCCTGTTTCCACATATTGGTTCCAGGCATCCTGAACTGTTGTTCGGGGTATACCCAACGTATGGGCAATGTATTGCTGACTTTTGCCATCCTCAATTAAAGTAACAATACGCGCAACATCAGTTACTGACAACGGGATTGCTACTATGTTAAAAGACTAAAAATCTTTAACAACTGTCAATTTGCTATTCGAAACAAATGGCATACGCTACCTAGCGCGCCACCTTAGATTTTTATGCTTGTGTGTCTTGTTTTTACAGGCGTTCACTTTAAAACACTGCATCTTCGTTAGTAATAGAGATAATAGAGTGAATAAAAAAACAAGATGTTCAGAAAAGATTGGGCTACCGTTTGATTCCAGTTAACGCCATCTGCTGTAGCAGTTGCACCCAACAGGGTATTACAAATTTCGAGAAAAAAAAGTTTTTCTCATTCTTGCAGCCCGTATATACTCAAATTAAAATCTAAATGAAAATTTCTATCGCAGGATTATTACCGAAGAATCAACCATTCGATCAAAAAAACAATTATCAAAATCGAATGCGCGGTTCGCGAGAAAGCCAGCTTTGAAGTTTTGGCTAATTTATAGTGGCCGGTTTTTTTTGCCGGTCAGTTTATATTCTGAATGTTTTTGGCTTATTCGAGGATAACGTTTCAAAAAGGATTCGAATCATTTCCTTCCTGGTTTTTTGTTTGTGAAAGGAGTGTCTAGACGGTTCTTCTCCAATATTTGCTGAACAGAATACATTAGTCCTTCCTTGTTCACTGGAAATCCATGGCTCGCGTTTCTCAATATCCAGTGTTCAAGTTGATCTTCAATATCCTTACCTAGAAATAATATAGGAATCAAACTGCCAAAACATGGGCTACTATTTGACATTGA